GAGAAAACAGGTACATATACACAGACATCAGAGCTCTTAAGCCTTGTTTCCTTGGAAAGTTGAGCTATAGCAGAGTCAGAAACATGTGGAATGATATATTTTTTTTTTTTAATCTATAGTGTTCTTAGAAAACCAATATTGTCACTATATTTTTGTAAAGCAGAAACTGGCTACTATTATGCTTTGCCATAACGTACATATAAATAATAATGGCAACAAAAAGCAAACCCATCTGAGCAGAATTATTTCCCCAAAATCTGCATGTAAGCACAGTCTTTAAATATATCTGTTGAACTGCTGGGGGATGAGGCAACAGATGTAATATATAAAAATACTAAAATATAACACTTGTATTCTTATTTATTTATGTCTTTCTCGGCAAAAATATAGTTCTCTGCATCAAGCTGTAAAAAGAAAAAAGCCCTTGAAATTGTGACATGTGCTTGTTTAGATTTTTCACGCTGGGTTTTAAAACTAATTCAGTACTTCATAAAGAAGCTGCCTCTGTTGCAGAAGGGCAGCAGCTTGCTCTTCCCTGCCCATCCTGAGATTTGCTGCAATAGTGCAAAAATCTGCTCTGGGGGCAATGCAATAAAAAGAGCTCTTGGAAGCATTTATCTGATCATGTATCCCACCATCCAGTGCTCTTTCTGTTATCCTGGATGTGCTTTTGGGGCTTTTGAATTTATTTTGAGCAAAAGTTTTTAGTAGTTTTCTGTTAAGACCTATTACTGCTGACTGGCACAAAAAAACAGGAAAGAAAAAACGAACTTTACCGTGCCTAACTGGAGAGACGTACAAAGTGCATTTAGGATATACTGCATATTTCATTGTTCCAGATCAAATCCGATCAGATTGCAAAGCCAGCGCAAAAGTCACCGCTGCACAGCACCACTGACAGCCCTAAACCCCCTTGTTTTATACACTGGCCTTCGGGTGACTCCTGCATTTCTGTTATCCCAAGACTCGGTTTTGCTCCCTGCTGTTTCCAGTATCGTTCCAGCATCTCGGATCCAGCTGGCTTCCTTTTCTGCCTCTTTCCTTAGCCTGCTTTTTGCCTCCAAAAGAAAGTGGTAAAGTTTCCCAAGGAGTATTTTGGAGGGCTCGTGTGCTCTGGGATAGTCGCAGGAGATGAGCGGGGAAGGGGCCAGGTGACAGCCGGCTCCTCCGCAGCGGCTTTTGCTCTCAGCATCCGAGGGAGATCAGGCAGGGCAGACACACAGGGAGCGGAGATGGTGCGTAAGGGCTATTTTTATGCTTTTCTGTCACCGCAGTTTCAGATCACCACGGGGAGGGGGTGTCTGTCCATCACTAGCAGCAGCCCTTTTTCTTCTGAGGTGGCTTTGGTACTTCTTCTGCCTTATTTTTCAATTCGTCTTCATGAACTTTGAGCAACCTGGGAGAAAAGGAAGAAAATTAGCTGGCTATTTCCCCCATATTTTGTAGTGCTGTGCTATTTGTCTTGACAAACGTTAGTAAAGGAGGCTCAGCACGGCTGAAAGAGTTCGGAACCTTCCAGCTCAGTGTGGTTTGAGAACCACCAACCTAAATCAAATCACAGACAGAATTTATTTCAGTCTACCCAGGGAGAAATCAGCAGCATCCTGAAAAGGGTTTTATTATTCTCCTTGCAATGCTGACTATTCAGGAGACATCTTACAGCACTTATCTTCGGCTCATCCCAGCCGTGCACATGCTGCTCTGAATTTTCCCTTGACATTTGGGCACATGGAGTCTCCGGTGACAGTAACACACCAGCATTTGGAGTTAAAAAAGCAGGGAGGGAGCCCATTAAATCCAGGAGAGCTAGCAAAATCCAAGCACATGCCTCACCTGATTAAGCTGACCATGGCCTCAGAGACGTTGTGGCCCGAGGCAGCGCTGCATTCGTAAAACATGAGCTGATGCTCCTGGAAGACACAGAGCCCGAATAGAAATGTAATATTCTTGCACTGGAATAGCTTAATATGGGAGTAAATAGCCAAGGGACAGTCACGGTCGAGGGGAAACAGAAAGACTCAACGAAACAAATAACTCAATAACTTTTTTACTGGAATGTGAGGGTGAAATCCAGCTTTTCTGGTAGCTACGACACCAATATTTAGTATCAAGGAAAAGGCTGACACTGCAGACGGAACAAGATGCGATGCCCGCTGGTTAGTGGGGAGAATACAGAGACGTAACTAGATGTTCCCAGGTCTTTTGTGCCTGCCAGTGACTGGTTTGTGGGGAAAAAAAAAAAAGCATCTAATCCCTTGTCCTGTTGTTTCCGTTTGTAAAACTGGTCAATGGATACTGGCCCAAGTCCCATAAACTTTGAAATTAAGTCGGTAAAGGTGAGATTCTTCTCACCTAATTTTTATTAGCCATCTACATTTGAAGAGAATAATCGTACTTTAAGCATTTCAGTATCTTTAAAATAGGATAGAGCTTGGTGGTTTTATTATTTATATGATGCTGGGAAGACACGTGACACTTCACAGCAAAGGTAAGCAGAGCTGAAGATGTTTTAATTTATAGATCCAGTTCCATAAACTGTTTTACTGGGGCGGTGCTGAGTCAAAACTAAAACGGCAGGGGGAAAGCAAAGCAGGGAAGGGTGAAAGATGGGTTCAGGGGTCACTTTGCCACGCACCGATGCACAAAAGATAAGTTAAGGGCTTTCACCTTTCTCCAGGTCCTCAGGCTGGTGGCATCCATCCTGAGCTGTCCCTGCCTAACTTGGGTGGACAGCACTCTTTAGCAGGGCCGTGCACCTACCTTGGCCAGGCGTTCCCCCTCCTTCGTAGGGACCTGTCTCTCTGCAGCGCAGTCGGTTTTGTTCCCAAGAAGCAGAATAGCGACTCCGTCTTCTGCTCCTTCCTGGGCAATTAAAGAGGGGAGGATCAGGAGTACGTCTGAATCTCCCTTGAATTGCAGCCAGCCACACTGTCTAGACACCTCCTGGAGCACCGTGAAGGATGCCGACAGATTTGGGTCGATAACAAAACCTTAAATTCTTAAACGAGTTTAACAGCATTTAAGAAAGGGATTTTTTTTTCCCTTAAATCATCTGTCCTGGTCTATTAACAGGGCAGAGCACTGGATGAGTTACCCCTGTAGTGAATTCACTTTGTGTTTGACTTCAGGAACCCTCCAGAAGATGCTCTGGCTGAGATTTGCAGGCACTGAGCAAGGCGACATCCTATTTTGTTCCAGTGTTTTTAAACACTGACTTTGTACTTGACTGGAAATCTGTGACAAGAAGTTTTTAATAAGACGCAAGCTACCTCCCATTTCCCAGGACTCAAAGTGGACTATTCTTGATTTAAAAGTGTTCTCAAAACCACTGTCAACATTTTCCATTCCTCTGCACCAGTTTTTAATTTTAAAAAAGTTGATCATTATCATAATGATGCTATCAACAGATTACCCCAGGAAACACTGCAAAAATGTGAAAATTGTCAGTATCTGAATTTAAATCCTCCAAGAAAAATTATTTTCTAACCAAAGCAAAGCAGAACACCCTTTACAAAGGGCTTGGTCACCCCCAGATGTCCATCCCTAACCGGTGGCAGAGGTCAGGTGGGGAAAAACTGATCTCGGAGTCACCACCAGTTCCAAGACCTCGGGGACAGAACGAGGTTTTCCTACTTCACCCACCTGGATGCAGCTCAGCCAGTACCGCACGTCCGAGAACGAGTACTCCGATGTGATATCGTACATCAGCACGACCCCGTCTGCCTTCCGAAAGAACTGCTTGGTGATGCTGTGGTACCTGCGTACATTTTGAATGGTCACCGATAAGGTCTAAGGAGGTTTCGCCTAGCAGCGATCTGAAATCCCAGAGGGAAAGTTGGAAATGCATGTCTACAAAAAATGCAAAACCCAGATTTTGCTCCTATCCTGATCACAGAGGCTGTACAAACAGCCCGAATGCTTATTTTTATCTTAATTACTTCCTTTATTATTCTTTATCAGATCACACACTGTACAGAGTCCCTTCTTAAACAACCCCTCCTTTGCTTAGCAAAGCCAAGAACATTCTATTTCCCCTAAACTACCAGAAAAGAAAAAGAAAACCACAGGTTGCTCTCCTGAAGCAGACAGCACAGCACCTTACCTTTCTTGACCAGCTGAGTCCCACAGGCGGAGAGCAAAGCGCTTGTTGTCCACGACGAAGTTTTTGACCTGATAATCCAGTCCTAGAAGACACAAAAAGGGCTATTTTGATGCTGTAGAGTTCATCCCTGCGACAGGGGATGGATGGAGAAGGTACATGGTGCAGGTGTGGTCTGAGGCTGCAGCTCAAGCGGGTTGGTCCTAAGTGAACCTCCAGCTTTTAGATCTTTGATGGCTGGATTTTGGAAAAGTCTCTAATCTCATGATGAGTAAAACCGGGTTGGTTAAGAGAGGAGAATATAGCTGAAAGGCAAAGCAGAGAGAAAAGCACTAGGGCCATTAGTATTAGTGCCCTAGAGAGGGCAAGGAGGACCAGCATTGCCTGCTCAGGAGCATCCAGGCGTGAAGTTGGTGGTCCTATTTGGTCCTTGATGACAGGTTGTATAGCACGCTTGGCATGAGCTGTAACATGCATGTAATGATCACCAGCGGCTTGTGGGGTGGAGGAAAGGGAATTATGAAGGTCACCCAAGCAGGTGCAGAGCTGTGCTGGAGAGGAGCTGGAGGAAACCTACCTACTGTGGCAGTGAGGTGTGGGTTGAAGGAGTCAGCGTGCAACCGGTACAGGAATGATGTTTTGCCCACATGGGAGTCCCCAACGAACAGCACGTTGTAGAGGTGATCTGGGTCCAGGGTGGCTTCAGGAGAACCCCTTGAGGCAGCTCCTGCCCCATCTGCAGTCACGGCCCCTGGCTCTCCTGGGCTGGGCTCACCTTCCTGGCTTGTTTTCCGCCCAACCTCTTGCTTCTTCACTCGTTGACCAACATTGAGGTCTTCGCTCTGTTCTCCCAAGAGCTGCCTTTGAGGCTGCATGCTGCTGTTGGCTGCATCCCCCAGGGAGCTGTCTCTGAGGACCATCCCCAACTGATCATTCCCAGCATCTTCCTCCTGTTGGACCCTTCTGTAAAGGGTTGACACTGGTGGCACCTCTTGTTTTGGAGGCTTGGCAGGTCCAGCAGCTACCTGCTCCGTTTCCATCACGTGCGGTGGCTTCTCCTCCAGCTGCTGGGAAGCAGCGTGAAGCCTCACCTTATCTGCCTGTGCCGAGACCTGCTCCTGAAGCTCACTTTGGGCTGCCTTTCCCGAAGCACCTAGCCGCCGCACATCTGGAATGAGAACATCCTCCTGCATCACCGTTTCCAGCTTTAGCGTGCTGATTTGTAATGCCACCTCGGAGACCAGCGGGGCCAGTGCAGACGTACTGTCATCGTGGCCCTGCTTTATCCCTAGACACTGAGTTTCAACTAAAATCCTTGTTCCTGTCTCCAGCCTCTCTCCCTGCACCACTGCCAGACCTTGAGCTCCATCCAAAGGCTTCCTCTCTATATCAGCCCACTCTCCCTGCAGTATTTCCAGTGCCTGGGTATCCTCCAGGATCTGCCCATCTGGACCAGTGAGTGCTCCCAGCATTGCTTCCAGACCAAGATCCTCAGCGGCAGCGGCACGCTCAGGATGTAAAGTGGCCTCAGCCGGAGGGGACACATGTGTGCCAGCAGCCCCCTCCCACAGGTCTGCAGTGTGAGCTGCACACAGACCTGCCTCCGACCCAGGAGTCTGGCCCTGCTCCCCTTCCCGCATCCCAGGTGCACCCATGGGTGCCAGATCTGCCTCTGTGCTCCCTCCCGAGGTTGATTTGAGCTTCTCCGCCTCTGTAAGCGGCTGCACGTTGGCTTCAGTGCCCTGGTCCTCCAGCGTGTCCAGCGTTACAGCCTCCTCCCGAGGCTGCACGCCTCCACCAGCCCCCTCTCCCTGCCCGACTCCTGCTCCCTGCGGATCGAGCACAAGCTCGTGTGGCAGCTCATGCTCACCCTGTCCTTGTGCCCCATCCTCAGCCTCCTCCACGAGATGTACGGCTGCACGGGCCCCCCCTCCCTGGGGGGTTTCTGGGCTGGCACCCCCACGCAGCTGCGTGTCTGCCCAGGAGTCCTCTGCTTCCACCATTTCCACTAATTCTGGTTTATCAACCTGATCCAGGGGTTGCACATCTGTATCCACACTCCTTCCCTGCTCTGTCCCCAGGGAGCTGGCCTCGCTGGTGGGCTGCAGATCTGCCTCCATGCTCCCTCCTGGGGTCAATTTGAGCTCAACTGCCTCTGCAAGCAGCTGCACATTTGCATTAGTGCTCTGGTCCTTCACCATATCCAGGATTACAACCTCCTCCCATGGCTGCACACCTTCAGGAGCCCCCTCTCCCTGCCCGGTGGCCACTCCATGGGGGTGAAGCACAGGCTCGTGTGGCAGCCCACATTCATCCTGCCCTTGTCCCCCATCCTCAGCCTCCTCCACGAGCTGCATGGCTGCACGGTCCCCCCTTCCCTGCAGGGTTTCTAGGCTGGAACCCCCACACAGCTGCATGTCCGCCTGAAGGTCCTCTGCCTCCACCATTTCTACTGACTCCGGTTTATTGGCCAGATCCAGTGGTTGCACATCTGGAGCCACACTCCCTCCCTGTTCTGTCCCCAGGTAACCAGCTTCGCTGAGGGGCTGCAGATCTGCCTCCATGCTCCCTCCTGGGGTCAATTTGAGCTCAACTGCCTCTGCAAACCGCTGCACGTTGGCATCAGTGCCCTGGTCCTCCAGCACGTCCAGGATTACAGCCTCCTCCCGAGGCTGCACGCCTGCACCAGCCCCCTCTCCCTGCCCAGCTCCTGCTCCCTGCGGATCGAGCACAGGCTCGTGTGGCAGCTCATGCTCGCCCTGTCCTTGTGCCCCATCCTCAGCCTCCTCCATGAGCTGATCGGCTGCTTGACCCTCCCCTCCCTGGGGGGTTTCTGGGCTGGCACCCCCACACAGCTGTGTCTCTGCCTGGGAGTGCTCCGACTCTACCAGTTCCAGGGCCTGAGCCTTAACTGGGAACAGCCCATCCTCGTTGATGCCCTCTCCGTGCACCAGTTCCAGCTCCCTCTCTTCCTTTGGGTGCTGTACATCTCCATCCACCTCCGCTCCTGGCCTCTGCGCCCCAAACAGCGCCAAGGGCAGAG